TTTCTTCCATTAACCCAGAGAGCCATCTATCTATAGTGTCTCCTAAGGAACTGGCCATTCTCACCACATACCTCAGCAACTTGTAAGCACCCTCCAGGTGCAGGCAGAGACAATGCCTTAGGAGCAGAAACAGGTTAAGCATTAACTGAGCCAGTCTGTAAGGCTCTGAATTACCTGTAACCATGGCTCCCCACATACTTGTTATTACTTGTCTTGTCGATTTCTTCATATTCATCTTGCCTGAGGTTCACTTAGTTTCTTGTGTTTGAGTGTTATATTTTTTCATCTTGTTTAGGAAATTTGGGAGCGTTATTTTTTCAAGTATCTTTTCTGTACATTCATTCTCTTCCTTTTCATCTGAATCTTCTATTATACATATGCAAAAGTGATTGATATTGTCTCACAAACATACAATGATGAGTCTCATGTGTTTCTCTTATCTCAAGAATCATGAACCTTATACTATTGCCCTGTAACAAATACCTAATGTAATTTTCTAGTATTATTCTATAATATCATGGCAAGAAATAGAAGTCCTTGTGGCTACTCTTTTTTTATCTTTATTTTATGAATTATCAATAATGTCAGACATTATGTCTCTGAAATATTATTGCTTCCTGAAGTTATACCCAAACCTCTTATCTCATCTCACATAAAAAAACACACTTTTACCATTCCATGAACTACTTTAATTATAAAGTAACTAAGGAATATCAATCTCTGATGTCCCTACTGAGTTGGAAACATTATTATCAAATTCCAATGGATTCCCAGGTATTGTCACATGGATTCTTCAACAGGTAACCCAAATTGTAGCTATTCAAAATTAAATTCATTATCTCATCCTCTGTCTACCCTTTGATTCTTTTATGGAAACTTGGATATATCACCAATACACATTCTTCTCCATGTGCCAAATACAACTGATCATCTTTTCTAATTCATTGTTACTCACAAATATTTGATATTATGTAGTGACTTTTTGTATCTGCTCTTTCATTGTTTGTGTCAGGCTCTTCCAGTTAAACAATTGCTTTCAAAGTAATTTACCTTCATTCAGACTCATGTAATGAAATCCATTTTCCACATTGCTGCATGAGTAGACTTTCTGAAATGTGGATCTCAATTTTATTGCCTTACCAGGTACTTGGTAACACATTTGGGGAGTAAATGTATTAATGAAGGAATGAATGATAGAATCAATGATTAGTCTATGACACTTGCCTTTATCCATAGGAAAAAGGGAAAGTATAAACATGTACTCCATCACTCAAAATGTGATTTACTATTATGTTGTAATAAATATATATACATTTATATTTTGCCATATGATTTTTCCAAATTTCATTCATAATGAACACTTTATCCTATGGTTGTTGTTTTTTTTAAATTAAAATTTATTGGGGTGACAATAGTTAGTAAAATTACATAGGTTTCAAGTGTGCAATTCTATAATACATATTGTTTTTAAATAACCTACAAAATGTTTTATAATATGGAATGCAAATAATTAATTCTTCCATATTTGAGTTTGTTTTTAATTCATACTATGACATTTATTGAAATTTAAGAGTACTATATTCTAACCAATTTAACTAAGTTGATTAAAATTGAGTGTCTCTGAAAAAACTCTCATTACAAATTTTGTTTAACACTAATTTAATTAAAGCTACTCTTCATGATAACTCTTAATTACTTAGGAGATGATGAAAGATTTGACTTGGCAGTACATTTCTTTAATTATTTCATAAAACAACATTCTATTTTGTTTTAAAAGTTTAATTTCTACTTACCATATTTCTGAATATTTCCATCATCAATACTTCCCCCTGGTGAACCAACCTGGAATTCACAATCTGGAGGCTGATAGCCAGGAAAGCAATGACAATTGCCCAAATTATTACATATCTGAAACAGAAAAACATATAATCACTATAAATCATGTTAGTCTTTATATATTATATAAAAATACCTAAATTCAAATGAATAAAATCATGATTTTTCTAAGTTTATTAAGACTATATTCAGTCATGTGCCACTTAGGGATACATTCTGAGAAATGCATGGTTAAGCGATTTTGTCATTGTGAGAACATCAGAATGCACTTACACAAACCTAGATAGTATAGTCTACTACACACCTAGGCTCTATGGTATAGCCTACTGCTCCTAAGCTACAAGCCTATACAGCAGGTTACTGTACCAAATAACATGAGATTAAACCAAGCACAAGAGAAAATGATGCAATCAAGACACACAGTAAACACGAGATGTATGAAACTGCTGCCAATGTTAACACAACATACCGTTTTACAGCAAACTTTTTTATAAGTACAATAGAAAGAGTACACTCTAAAATTATGACAAAAGTATAGTATAATAAATATATAAACCAAAATGTACTTGTTTTTTATTTTCAAGTATTATGTACTGTACATAATTTTATGTGCTATAGTTTTAAATGACTGGCAGCACAGTAGGTTTGTTTACACCAGCATCACCACAAAATAATAGTAATGCATTGTGCTATGAAGTTACAATGGCTAAGACAGCTAATACATCATGGGGTTACAGGAAGTTTTCAGTTCAATTATAATCTTATAGGACCACTGTCCTCCATGCAGTCATTGACTGAAACATTGTTATGTGGTGGATGACTGTAATATGAGAAATAGGTCAGAAAAAGTAGTGAAAATTTTGACAACATAATAGTCAACGTAAAATCACTACCTACATGACATTATATTTCTGGCCTCTCTATATTGACTGCTTTCTTCAATGAGCACTTTGTCATCCCTAATATTTTAATAAATGGGATTCAAAAAAATTATGGTCATTGTATTCACAAAGGAGAGCACATCATTTGGTAACTTTAGAATTTTTCACAAATATTATATCATTTATTTTCAAAACATTTGCAGTCACCACTTCCACATTTCTTATTCATGCACTTTAATGTCTATACAAAATATTGTGACAAAATTACCCTCAATGGATCTGGCCACTTCAATTTCTTATTGGAGCCCCTTTTTAGAAATTTGATACTATTGATCAACCATTTGTATTTTTTTTTTCTTTTTTAAAGATTTTATTGGGGAATTGGGGGAGGGGAACAGCGCTGGGGAATCGGGGGAAGGGGAACAGACAAGTTGCTGTTNTTTTGTTCTTCAGTCTAGTTGTGGAGGATGTTGCTTCACTGGCCCAAGCTGGCACCATCATTGCGCTCTTCCCGGGTGAGGCAGATCAGTCGCCAGCCTCTCACGGATGGCCACTCATGGTGGCTGCTGGCCACTCACGCTGGCAGCCAGCTACACATGGTAGCCCATGGCAACCCACTGCAGCAGGGGACTGCAGCCTACGCTGTCGCTGGGAACCCACGGCAGCCCAGCTCCAGGTTGAGCTGTTGTTCAGCATCTTAGCTGTAGAGGGCAGTGTCACTGGCCCTCTTATGTGGGATCTGAACCAGGGCCCTCTGGCATCCCAAGCCAGTTCTTAACCAATGCACCACTCGGCCGGCCCTGAATTTCATTTTTAAGTGAATATATTTTCCAAAATAAAAACATAGATGCAAAAATATATTTTAAATGGACAACCAAATAGAACTTTATGATAAGCTTGCATTGCTAGCAGTTTACATAAAATAAAAATATTTCAAACTAAATGAAAATGTAAATACAGCTTACCAAAATTTGTGGGAGTCAGTGAAACTAGTGCTTAGAGTGAAATGTATAGCACTGAATGCATGTATTAGAAATCATCTAAAATCATAATCTAGCTTTTGCCTTAGGAAACTAGAAAAAGTTCAAATTAAAGCTAATGAAAATTAAAAGAGAATGCAATGAAATAGAAAACTGAAAATCAATGGAGTAAATTAACCTAAACAAAAGCAGGACAACTAAGAAAAAAAAGAGAGAGAGAATCCAAATTATCAATATCAAAAATTAAAGAAATACTATCATTATTGATCTATAGACATTAAAAGGATAACAAAGTAATATTCTAAACAACTCTATGTGCATAAATTAATAACTTAGATAAAATAGGCCAATTCCTTTAAATACACAATCTACAAAACTCACACAAGAAGAAATATGGTCTGCAAAGATCTATATATACGAAAGAAATTAAATTTAATAAATTTCCAAAACAGAAAACACCTGTCTCAGATGTATTCTCTGGTGAATTTGCTCAAGCATTTTAGGGAGAAATTACATGAAATTCTTTACAACCTCTACAACTGATCAAGAGAAAAGCATATACCCAAAGGCCTTGAAAACTTATGTCTATACAAAAAAACCTGCACACAGATATTTAAGCAGCTTTATTCACAATTGCAAAAACTTGGAAGCAACCAAGATGTCATTCAGTAGCTGAATGAATAGACAGTGGTAAATCTAGACAATGAAATATGATTTAGGGCTAAAAAGAAATGAAGCATTAAGCCATGAAAGAACATGAAGAAACCTTAGATGCATATTACTAAGTAAAAGAAACTACTCTGAGAAGACTACATACTATCTGCTTCCAACTATATGACATTTTAGAAAAGGCAAAATTACAGAGACAGTAAAAAGATTAGAGGTTGCCGTAAATTGAGGCAGGAGGAAGGATAAATAGGAGAAATACAGAGGATTTTTAGGCCAGTAAAAATACTCCGTATGATACCATAATGATGGATACTTGTCATTATACATTTGTCCAAACTCATAGAGTGTACAACACTAAGAGTGAATCCCTATGTAAAGTATGGACATTAGGTGATGATGATGTGTCAATGTAGGTTCATCAATTGCAACAAATGTACCACTGTGATGTAGAATGTTGATAATTGGGGAGGCTATGCATGTGTGGGGGCAAAAGATATATGGAATATCTCTGTTACTTCCCTCTCAATTTTTCTGTGAACCTAAAACTGCTCTAAAAAATAAAGTCTTGCCAATAAAAAAAGTATATCGTGAATGAAGAAAGAACAACACTATATTAACTACCAACATTTCACAATTAATGAGATTTCTGAACAACTACATGCTCATAAAATTGAACTGGAATTGTAAATGATAGAGTTGCCTATTTGTTGAGATATGATTGGGAAGTAAACAGCTTAGATTCAGTTAGATTTTATTTGACATTTAAATAGAAAAACATTTATTTTTTTATTTTTTATTTTTTTATTATTATTATTATTTTTTAGCTGAGCCATCCTGCCACCTGTTGGCAGCTCAGCGGCAGCTCAGCTCAGGCCAGGCATCAAACCGCTGTTGCTCAGAGGTCAAAGTCTTAGAGTGAGCTCTTAACCAGCTGAGCCACTCGGCCGGCCCCAAAATTGAAAAACATTAATGCTGAAGGCTTAAATCAGAAAACTGAACAAAGAAAACCAAAAGATCAGGCCAATCATTGTACCTATAGAAAATAAAAAACAAAACATACAAATGTAGCTATCTTTTTTGTTAACAGACTACAAAAAATTAAAGGCAATGTAGTGGTATTTTATATATTCTAAACCAATTTTAAAATTATAAAGTTGAATACTGACAAATTCGGTGAATTTGAGATCATTCATATCATGTTAACTATTAATACATACACTGATTTTGTTTTAGGAAAATAATAAAACAAAGGACCAAAATTAGAAATTTTAAAAAATGAAAATTAAATGTAAAAGTAACAAATTTGTATTACCAGATTAAAATAGATAAGCAGTTGAGATGAAATTAATTTTTTACATGACAATATATTTTCTATTAGAAACTTTTTCATAAGAACAAACAGAAAATTCTATAACATGGCAACATGTTTTTTAAGTATACTCTGTAAAATTTTATATGGCTATAAATTTTAATTATTAAGAGTATGAGGGAGAAAAAAATATGTTCATAATATAAGTAAAACGTATTTATTTACATAAGAAAATAAATATTTTTCATTTAAGCATGTTACTAATTCATAAATTGAGGGTACTTAAAATAAATTCAATGCACATATTAGTACAATTTACTTAATAGTGTTTGAATTAGCTCAGCTAATTTTCTTTATGTTGGTTAGCTAGTTCTAGGCAAGGTCAGTAACCTAGACTCTTAATTCTCCCAAACAGGATGCATTTTTTACTTTGAACTCATCACAAAAATATCACATAATTTAGAACTACAAAAATAAAAGTTATTTACCCCGTTCCCTTGGCATTTTGTAGTGGCATCACAGTTATATCCCATTAAACTGACTTCTTTGCAGGTTTTATTTTCACAATACTAAAAAACAAACAAACAAAACAAACAAACAAAAAAACAAAAACAGTATTTTATAATCATTCACAAATTTTAGAAAAAAATTTTTGTTACATGTACGTAAGAGATGCTTAAATTGAGACTTTTTATTCCATTTTACTCTGATTCTGATACAAAGATACTGGTATACCAATACAAAAACCTAAACAACAATAAATTTAAGAAAAACAATCTTAGGGTGTTTGCTTTAACGTAGTTATGCAACAATGTCATATAATTTTGGTTTTGATTCTTACAGTTCGGAGTTAAATTGAGAATCTCCATCACAGGAGATGCAGCACACTGATTTACAATTGCTTTAATCTCAGATGCCTTATATTTTCTGGAATGTGTGCTCTTATACGGTAGTTCCAGATCAACTAACAAAGTCTTTGAGCCATTTTTGTTCTCCCTTTATTTTATGGCTACGTGAGTGTAAATGCTCATATGTATGTACATATGCATATGTACATGAGCTGTACATCCCTGCAACAATATTTTCCTAGAACAGACATCGTGTTTGTTTCTTCCAGACTTCTCACACTTATATTTTGGTCTTATCCATAAGTAGGTGATTTGAGAAATATGAAAGCTCAGTTATGTTTCTTTGTGAAGCAGGGAAAATTGAAAACTCAAAATTGGAATTTTATGATTTAAAGCTGTTAGGATTCAAAGATCTAAAAAAAAAAAATTCACCTGTCAGTTAGTGGAATCTTGTGCTTAAAACACATGCATATCTTTTCAGTAAGGACTGATGACAGTTTAATTGGAAAAACATTATTGGATAACTGAGGCTTCGTTTATTTATTTGTTCATTGAATTATCTTTTCAATACAATATGGGAAATAAGTGACAGTACCTGGTTGAAATGCACTCAGTATAATTGTGATAGTCATCATGGAATATAATATCAGACAACTACATAATTTAACACAGCTGAATATAAGTGAACATGTTTTGTTACCATTTGTGCTCCACACACAGTGCCATCAGCCACATAGGCATAATCTCTTCCATCTGATCTCACTGATGACCCGGTAGTAATGGATATGCATACGTGCCCTTGAGTATATGAATAAACTGCAGACTGAACATTACTTTTATAAGTATTATGAGGCCAAACACAAGCTAATTTTCCACAGAGAACATCCCTGGAAATGGGAAGCAGAAAAGTACTTATCATTTGTCTTTTAAGGATACTAAGTTCCAAATAAGTGTTATATTACATGGGTAGTAACATAAATATTGTTTGAAGGTTTAAAACCAGAAAAAAAATGCCAAAACAACATTATCTTATGGTGTACAACAACTGAATGCAATCTAGTTAATTAGCAAGGTAGCAGAACTGAAAATGATACACAACTCAAATGTGCAGACATGACTTCATTTCCTATTTCAGAGCTCAGCTTTGTTGTCTAGCCTCCAGTTGTATTAGAGCACTCATCATATTTTATTACCTTTTGGGTGAAAAATTCATCACCTGTCCCCACTTTGATATAGCTTAGTCAGTCTGGTTATCTGTTACCCCACATTTGCTGAGAGTGGCTGATTGCATTTATTTACACTCTGTGTACTGTGTGAGCCCCTTCTGATTATGCCCAGGGTCCCTGCCACTATCTTGAGTCAGTACATCTCTGTAGTATACAGACTCATTATTTTTATTCTAAGGTTCTTCCAACATGCTGATACTTCCAGTAATGCTGCACTCCTCTCTTGAGAATTAAGGAACTTTTAGCTCCCCTTTATGCCACAAGCATACCAAAGGTTATCCCATAAATAGCTTATTTAGCCATTTATAATTTATCATTGGGTGGAATACTGGCTCCTCTAAGAGGCTTACAAAACTCCTAGTCTGTTTTATGATTTGTATGATATCAAATCATACAGAGTGATGTTTTGATATAGGTGTACACTCAACTAGTTAATTAACACATTCATCAGTTCCCATATTTATCCTGTTTTTGTGTGTGAGAACATTTAACTTCTACTTTCTTAGTAAATTTTAATTATATAATACAATATTATCAACTATAGTCACAATGTTATACATTAGATCCTCAGACCTCATTTACCTTAGCTGAAAATTTGTATCATTTTACCAACTTCTCTCTCTTTCCCACTGGCAACCACTTTTCTACTCTGTTTCTATGCATTTGACTTTTTGTTTTGCTTGTTTGGATTCCACATGTAATTGGTGGAGTGGACTACAAGGAGATGGCAGGGGAAATGTCCATAGGGAGGAATGCAGCCAGACTCTAGTACTAAATTAGAAAATTGACCCTTAGGTGGCCGCTTTCTAAGTATGCACATGGTTTTCTTTCAGGAAAAGACTGGGATATGAGTGATTTTTGATGCTCCTTCTGTACCGTGCCCAGGGAGAAATGCATGGCAAACGCTTACAATCCAACAAACACTCGTTTGTTTTCTATAGTCTTGTGGGTCTCCTAGGTGCAAGTTTCATTGGCTCTCAGAACTACATATTTTATGATCCTGTCCCTCAGGTGAGAGTCTTAAATGTTGGAGCACCAAATGTGGGGTCCAAATCCTTTGCTCCTTAGGGAAAATCTGGGAGTTGGAAGTTCCCTTTCAGTTGTACGGTGCTATGCCAGGAGTTGGGTTTAGGGTAAGAGTACGTCTCTACCAGTTTCAATGTAGCTATTTTCTCATTTGCCTCATATGTAGGAGTTACTTAGCTATTAATAGTTTCTGTATTTCTTTCAGAGGTAATCACTCCATGTTTTCCTGAACATTCAATGTATCTGTGTCAGGAGAAGAATTCAGGAGCCTTCTTTGTTGTCATCTTGGTCAACCTCCTATCTGTCACTATTTTTGTGATTCTTTCATTTTCAATATTCCTATGATATTCAGAAAGTATTCATTATGGAGTAGGCACTTTATTGGGTTTCATGAATTTTTTTATTCTATGGCTTATAGTAAAACTATATTCTGGAACTCCATATTTAGCTATTGATAGGTACTGTTGTGCCTTACATATCAGTGTTTCGGAAACAAACAACAAAAACAAACAAAAAAACTGTTTTTCAAAACAATGCTATGTCTTAAAGCACTTGCTTTAGGATCATTATCATTTACTGACTTAATAAAAAGTTCAATTTTTAATTTTCAATAGAGAGAACAATTTTCTGAGTTTTTGGCAATCTGTGCCCACTTCCAACTTCTGGTAATAAGCTTCATTCTTCTTCAAGCCTAGTCTCATAATTAGGACAATACCAGGCTAAAAAATAAGGAAAAAGAAAACAATTGTATAGAAGGAAAATACATATAATGTAATTTCAAAATATTCTCCTGGCACATGATTTACTGTCCATTACTATTTAGTATCTTTTGACAACTAACACATAATTTACTGACACAATTATTTTTATATACATACTTTGGTTCACAAGGCAATGGTTGTGAATTTTTAAAACCACAGTTTCCAAGTTTATCATGAAGAGAATTAACTTCTTCAAAACAGGCAAATGGAGCACCTTGAGCACCTTAAAATGCAAACGCATCTGTTAAATTATTGTTTTTAATTCAAATTAAAACTTTGTCAATAGAAAGCTAACAAAATACTTATTGCATAATCAAAAAATTATCTTGATCATACTTTTTTCCTATGTGTATCCTATCAATGCAAGTAGAAACAATTGTTTTACCTAATAGAACACAGAAAAACATTATATCTATTGTAGTAAATTATATTATTGTTAAAAACAATTTGCTTTCCCTCCCATGCGTACTTCCTAGTCCAATGGGTATAAGGCTTGACCATGTAAATTGCTCTGCTTAATGAAATGAGAGATTTGAAACATGTCACTTATGGGCAAAAGTCTGCGAAGCTATTACCTAGAGTACCATATTCTTTTTTTCCCCTGATGGGGGATAAGCAATGTTTTTTTTTGTTTGTTTTTTTAAAGGTTGAACATATATAATGTATTACTTTTTTTTATTGTGAAATAAACATTTTTTTAAATTAGTTTCAGTTGTACAACACAATGCAATAGTCATGAGACGTGGAGTATAGTATGGGAGTGGAGTCAAGGGAATTGTAATAGATATGTATGATATGGTGGTGGGGGGAATGGGGTGACGGATTGGGGGAGGGGAGTTGTAACTTTGAGGAGTAAAAAGGATAAGCCATGTTTTAAATAGAGGCTCATCCGTCAGTCTGGGTGTCATTGTACAGACAATGTGGAATAGCAGAATAGCTTTTCTGGATATGTAAATATCAGAGATTTGAAGGTTATTTTCATTTCATTAAACACAGGAATTGGTACCCAGAAATGGTGTTCTATTATAAAATATGCCTAAAATATGTGGCACTGTAATTGGAGCTTGGCAGTAGGTGGTAAAAGAAATGATTATCAGAGACTAAAAGGAGAGTGATACATGATATGTGATGATGAAACATTTGGAAAACTATCTTCTTAATAATTTAATGGAAGATAATGGCCTTAATGAATTTGTTGCCTTAGGCAAAAAGGTAAGGAAAAAAAATTTGTCTTGGTTACTCGGTTTCATTTGACCAGATGGTGCAAATATTCAGGGAAGGTATAATCTAAACTAAGGAAAGAATCAGTTATTTCAGAAGCAGTAATAATATATATATATATATATATATATATATATATATATATATATATATATATATATAAAAAACAACCAGAAAGAGTTCAGTAATGTGTCCATCCTACAGGCACTGGGGTAGGTGATGACAGGTGCTAGATGTAAACTGGCTAAGTCATGATATCTACTAGGTTGTTTTGTGTGTCTTTCATAGTGGGTGCTCTTTGGTGGGTGTTAACCCAGTAAATTAATACAAAGATCTTCACATTTCTTGTTCATTTCCATGTGTCTATCCACATATGTCTACCCCAGACTCTTGTCTCTAATTTTCCAGTCTTTCTATATCCAGGCTCCTCACCAACCAGCTGGGCCCTTTGCCATTGTCCATGAGAACCTCTGTAGTATAACTTCTGGCCATTGCTCCTTCCACAGATACTGGATGACCAGGTGGTCAGTATCTTTCCAGGCATCCTCCCAAGTGGGATCACAGTATGGCTAATGTCCTCTTTCAGTTTATAATCAGTTACTGAGCCAACCCATCTATAATATAAAACAAGCCTAGGCTTGTTCCCTCTATGTCAGATGGTCATAATGAAATCCCATGTAGCCATAAGTGTGAGCTGAGGGAGAAGCAAATGTGTAAGGAGGAGAAAGACAGACTGTTAGGGATTTTCTGCTAATGGATTTTTCTTCTGCCTTCTCTTCTTGAGTATGCTTGAACCAAGATGAATGAATGACTTACATCTATCTAATCATCTAACTTAGTGGTTCTAAAATGACTGATCTTCATAGTTATGAACACATGGTCACTTGGTATCTGAAAGATTCTCATTTCTACAGGCCAAGTAGTGTGTCCCAGAGTTGTTTTGTCAAAGCGGTACAGTTCTCCAGTTTCAGTGGCACAACTTTGCTGAAGAGCCCCAGGGAACAGTTTTAGTGGCACAGTGTTGCTGTAGGACCCCAGGGAACTGCACTGTCATTCTCCCAAAGAGGCTTGGTATTTGCCCCAAATGACATTTTTTTTTCACGAGCTACATCTCTCATATTACTGGGTCTGCCGTGTTTTATGATTCTAAATGCAGGGCTGCCGACATGCTGCAAAACCCTTTCCTGCTTTTCACCTCATTCAACATCAGGAACGTGTCATGTCATCCAGTAAATGGAACCAAGCAGTACTTCCCCATTTGGAATATACTGACTCCAGAACCCAAAGAGGCCTACCAGATGTACTTCTATTTTTTTTCATAGGATATATACCATTTGTCTTTTACTTTGTAGGGGATGCCAAGTCATGCCTCTGACCATGGGACTCCTAAAAATTTTACTGATGTGACAGGCTCCTGAATATTTCCAGGGTCTATTTCCTGCTCTTTGTAGCACATGTGCTTTAATTAACCCTCCAGCATACTAGCTATACTTTGCTTATTTAGTCAGATTAGTACAAATCATTGATGGAGTGGATCAATGTGCTACTTTCTGGGATGTCCAAATCTCTTCAACTATATTATGACGAGGGCAGGAAAGTAAACATAGTCCCGAAGCAAAACTCAAAATTCATGCCATTTTCCATTCTAAGCCAACTTTTTCAAGCTCTCTTTTCAAATGGGAATAGAGAAAAATACATTTGCCATGTCAGTAACCACCCTCTTACCACATATCTGAGGCCATGCTAATCTGCTCTAGCATAGATGCCCACCTGGCACAGTGGATACAATTGCTTTATCTACCACGTGACTACATTTGCAACACATAACTATTAACTTCCAAGGACCATCTGGTTTATGCAGGGACCAGATTGAGTAATTAATTGTGGATATACAGCCAACCCCCTCTGCATCCTTTACATCTTTCAAAGTAGCACTAATTTCTGGAAGAGGACAGTTACAGAGTCTTTCTCTTACAACATTTCTAGGACGGAGAAATAATAACCAAATGAATTTGTGGACTTAGTGGACCCATTATAAGCTGAAACTTGGTAAGAATTCCATTTGTTTCCTGACCCTTATAAGTTCCCATTCTCACAGAGAGACCATGGTGACACTGGGCTTCTGTGTATCCACATCAATTAAGACTCGTTGTTCACCACTTTCCAAAATGCTCGGTTATTTCCCTTTCCCCAGTGAACGGATACCTGATTAAATAGTTGTATGTCATTTCGGGATGTACTAGGGGGGAATTGTTAACATGGATATTTGCTAAGGTGCTATGGAGTTTTCTTTTTGGGCCCTTAAGCTCCCCTTAAGTCTATGAGTTTTACTTCTGAAAATTGGCTTAGATTCAGGATTTGGACATGGGATTAAGCATTCATTAAGCTAACTCTCTTCAGTCTCCTAGTTATCCATTTTTTATTTCTTTTGATGGTACAAACTGGGTAATACCCTGGTTGGTTTTCCATAGAACACAATGGAACAGAAATAATATTCTATTAGCTATCTCCCTGACTGTCTATAGATTAGGTATTTATGTCTGCTACTCTGTTCCTACTTCTTATTACAATAATTTTATCCATCTGGTTTCCGGCAGTGAAGCACTGCTTTCTGGCCTTGGTTTTCTTCAAGACCTTGTAATGCCCTTTGCTAGTGATCTTACTTTTATAATACCATCTCCTACCATTACCCCTGGGCTATAGAGAAGTTCATCATTGAAACATAGTGATTCTGATACCTCTCATACCAGCACATTCCCCCTTTCACTGGACTTTCCTGTTGGGGCTAATCATTTGGCCTTATACATAAGGTGTACAAATTACAGTATATGTAATTCCCTGGGACTTTTCTTCCTTTCTTCAACTTTCTGTATCATAATTCTGTCACTTAAACTTCACTTAGAGTGGGCTGTCATGTTTTTTCCATGCTTCTGGAAACTATCCTGGTAGAAACCTTTACTGTCTTCTAGGATCCTTGCCAGGATGATAAATCTTGTATCTTGGGGAGTGCTCCCAAAACAGTAAACCCTATCCTATCCAAACTTATATTCCTTCACCCAGTCTTATGATTAAGTACTCTCAGAATCCAGTTCCATGATTGGTACTGGTAGTAACTGCTGGCTAGGACCTACAGTTCCATTAGGGTATAGTTCTTTTACTCCCTAATTAGTTCCAGAGCATGCTGGCTCTATTCTGCTGTGCTATAACTCTATTTTCAGCTAGCGGCCAGGAGGGGTAAGGAGAAGATCCTAACAAGGACACAATTTCTGTTAGGAATGATAGGCATCTGCATTATCTTCAAGCAAGGGAAACACACACTTACACCATTCTTAACTGGGAGCAGGTGGTGGTCTGAGAGGACCAGGGCTATACTATTCTATAGATTCAGAAGTTTGGAGGCTGAAAATTTGGGGGTAAATATTTTCAATTGTGTCCATCCCAAGTTCAGTTTCCATTTTTTCCCCAAAAATACCTTAACCCTGGCAAAAACAGACTTGATTGAGAATTTAGCCTTTTCTGGAGTTCCTTGAGTTTGATAATAAAGTCATCAACCATCTCTAAACTCCTATTTTAAGAGAGGAAAGCCTCTTTATAAGTTAACAGGTGGGGTAGTAGGGGTGGGGTGGGGGTGGTGTTCCTGTTCACACTTTGACTTCAAATGCATATCATTTTGTTATCTTTGCATAGCTTTCAATTTTGCTAATAATGGCCATTCAATCCCATTGTCTTTATAGCTACTATTTCCCTGATACACTTTAATTGTATCAGCCAATGCATTTTCTTTCACTAGTATATCATTCCAGTTCACTCAGTGCATATATTATCAACTTCCACCAGTGATGGGGTGCTCATTGACAGTGAGTGATTTAGTTTTCAAGATTTATTTTGTAGGCTATTTTCTCACACTATTCTCAATACCAACTGTTTGTGGTTAGAGCCTCCTGAAGCCATCTTCTAGACGAAGTATGTTATAAGCTATTTATTACTGATCTGAATATCTGGAAATGAGAGGGAGGAAGCAGGATGGAACAGAGGAAAAGTCAGACTGACAAGTAGGTCCAACAAAGACTTGACCTAACCCATGGGTAGCTGTGGAGCATAAATAGCTTATCAGAGTATAAACTGTACCTGATTTTGTGCCTAATTGGGCCAAAATGTCCAGGCCTTTATAACCAACCTCAATTAATCATTGGATATGTGTTTCCCTAAGAAGGGTGTGCCCTTGGGTGAGGTGTGTCTGTACAGTTCAGACAAATTCTGAAGAAGTGAGCTGACAGCTAGAGATTAATGAGAGCTGGTAGTATTTTCCTTGTTCACTACACTTCATTTTTCAGAGTCCAGAGTGCTAACCATTACACAATGGAACCCACTTCATTTTTCTTTCAGTATTCTATTTTTTCCTTCAAACTGCACTCAGCAAAAAAAAGAAGTTTTATATTTCTTTTGTGTTTATATTTTACTGTCTTTATCTCTTTTTTTGGTGGGAAGAAAAGCAGTTTTATTCAAAATGCCTCGTTGAATATCATCAGGCCTGGGCACATACATACTCAGTATATATATATATATATATATATATATATATATATATATATTTTTTTTTTAATGGACAAACATGACTAATCTGATCAAACTTTTATAGTTGCTTTAAAAATTAAATTTTTCTTTAAAATGATGCAAAATTAAAAATATTGTTTGTTAATTCATATATCTCATACATTAGAATACCTTGGAACAGCCTTTTGCCCTATAGTTCTTCGTAACATAAGGACAAGAAAAAATACCTGTACCAGGTAGGAACCAAATAAATGAAAGAAGAGTGATGGATGAATGAATGAATGAATGAATGAGCTGCATCAAAAGATCAAAATTTTTGCCCACTTAAGGTTTGGGGGGGTTTTAGAGCATATATTAGAGGAAGAAACACACATGAATGGTTTATTCTTACTTAAACATCTTTGTTTTATTTAGAACTTAAAAATATGTCAAATGTCAAGTAACTCAATTCTGGGTCAAAGATTTATTTATTAAAATAAGGAATATGTTCTAGACTCTCCTTAATGTATATTATGGAAAGTCTTACTTAATTTTATTTTTAAGTGATGCATTAATATTAAACCTTGATCAAAAGTTTCTGTGAAAATGACAAATAACATTTTCAAATAAAAATAAGCATTGAAAAAGAAAGCAAAAACAAAGAAACAAAAAATAAAAAGTATCATCCTGAAAACATAGCCTACAGAAAATAGCACTGACCTATAATTTAGGAGATCATAGAGCTGTAGCTCAGGTTGACTTTTGGTTAAATCACCTAATTTGAAAGTTGTTACTACAGACAAGTTTCAAATCATTAGAAAGACAATACAAACCACACAGCATGTTATTTGGTACAAACTATACTCTGTATATTACCACTGGGCAAATAACTGACATGTAGTGTTATACTACCTTTACTCAATTAGCAAATAATTGTATTTGGATGCATTTCACTGAGTAATTTTGATTTATTCAAATTTAATTTAATTCTTCCAAAAATACAAAATCATACTGGGGTATTATGAATAATTACTGCCTAAAATCAAGCATATATGCATGAATCTTGTTTGAATTACTCTCAAAAACTGCTTTAAATGCAAAATATAAAAATGAACTTTCATTATGACCTATTACTGCTGTTAACCTAGCAGTTCTTCAGTGAGGAAATATGATGACACTTGATGAAATTCATTCTAAATTTTTTAAGTTTCATGACTTTAAAATTAGATCATAAATATGTGAGCTAAAAGGAGATTAAGTAAAGTTTCAGAATTTACTGAGTTGCCATTCTAAGCACTAGATAAATTATGAGCTATAAACATAGATTTTACCCAGGTAGCTAATTACCTCGGACAAAAATCAAACCATGAGAAAAAGAATGTACATTACTATCTTGGACAATCTCAAACACTTTTTCAAAAACTAACCTTTTTAATTCAAATTTAATCTTTATTGAGCTTATGATTCAGATTCTTCCACTTTTTGAGTTGTGCGATATGTATGAGGTCTGCCAATTAAGTTCGCGAACTTGTTTGCGAACAACGTTGCTAAAATTTTTTGATATCAGAGGGACTATTCCTTATGAATTTGTACGAACTGGAGAAACAGTTAAACAAGTTTACTATTTGGAAGTGCTGAAAAGGCTGCATGAAAAAGTTAGATGACCTGAACTTTTTGCCAACAATTCATGGCTCTTGCATCAGGACAATGCACCAGCTCACATGGCACTGTCTGTGAGGGAGTTTTTAGCCAGTAAACAAATAACTGTGCTGAACACCCTTCTTATTCACCTTATCTGGCCCCCAATGACTTCTTTGTTTACCCAAAGATAAAGGAAATATTGAAAGGAAGACATTTTGATGACATTCAGGGCATCAAGGGTAATACCACGACAGCTCTGATGGCCATTCCAGAAAAAGAGTTCCAAAATTGCTTTGAAGGGTGGAGTAGGTACTGGTGTCGGTGCATAGCTTCCCAAGGGAAGTACTTTGAAGGTGACTGTAGTGATATTCAGCAATGAGGTATGTGGCACTTTTTCTAGAATGAGTTCGCGAACTTAATTGTCATACCTCGTATTATATCCTACAGAAGGATTCAAATTTAAGGTAAAAGAAATATATAAGAAAGAGCAATACCTTCTCCAAATATGTTGGCACACTGGTTATCAGTAGTTTGGCATTGTCCATTATAACAATATGCAGTCTCCAACCTGCACGAGTGGCCATTCAAAGCATAAGTGTCAGGAACACAATTACTAGAAGTTCCATTGCAATACTCCGTAAAATCACACTCTTGATCAATACTCTTTCTACATGGAGTGCCTGCTACTGATATCTAGGAGGAAAATAAAAATAAAATCATGTTCCGTGAATGAGTATCTTCAATTACTTACTGAAGAGTTTTATCAAATTAAATATGCCTGATTATTGATACTTGAGGGAGCCACAGAGTGACCAAGGCAGCGAGTTCTTTGAATGAAAAATCAGGTACAATATTCATTATGAAGCTAGAAGAAAAGTAACTGTCTCAAAAGTATCTTCTCTGACAGAGGGTTTGCAAACTGCTTTGTATTCTACTTTGGGAGGCAATCTGACTCAATCACAATTTGGAGAGCGACAGAACAGATAGTTGTTCCTCAAAAGTGGAGGAGGAACATTGCCTCTACTTTTTTGTTATTGAAGAGACAGAAAAGCCAAACTGCCTGGTTTCAATTTCTTGCTATGATTTTTACTAGATTATTTGTGTGAGTGAGACACATAATCACTGTTTTGCAGTTTTCTCATTTGTAAAGTTGGGGTAATAATCATTCACCCAAGTGTTCTTGTATTAAACTGGATTACTGTAAAATGTGCTTACAACAAGATATGATAAACAATGTACTATATAATAGCTATCATCATCATTATATTTATCATTATCTGAGAGCAGAAAGGCTTCCTTGTATATCTCAGATAAACAGTTCAGTTATTGTCAAATTACAGCCTGCTCACTAAATCAGTCATTTTTTGCCTTCCATAGTGATGCTCACTGTGTCCAAATTCTGACCAACTATATATGTTGAACACACACACACACACACACACACACACACACACACACACACACTACAATCAAGTTTGATTAATTAACACTGAATAGAGTAAGACATATATGAATGAAGTGAGTAACAAATAAATGAAATGGTGTCTAAAAGTGATTAAAAGCTCTTTCAACCTAGAATTCTATACCTGGGAAACATATATTTCTAAAATGAATGGGAAATAAATTTGAGAAATGAGAAAAAGACTTTCCTAGGCAAATAATAGTTGAGAGACTTCAACAGACCTAAATGAGAAGAAATACTACAGGGCGTTCTTCAGGCACACAGAACGAATACCAAATAGAAATCTATAAAAGGAAGTAAAGAAAGCCAGAAAGGAAATAAATAATGTTAATTATAATTTTTTATATTTTTAAAAATGTATTGGGGTGACATTGGTTATTAAATGTATATAGGTTTCAAGTGTACAGCTCTATAATATATCATCTATATATTGCATTGTATGTTCACCACCCAGAGCCAGTTCTCCTTCCATCATCATATATTTGACCCCTTTTACCTTGTTCTACCACCCCCTCTCTCTCTTTTATCCTCTGGTAACCACTAAACTGGTGTCTGTGTCCATGAGTTTTTATTTGTTTGTACTGTTTGTTGCTTTCAGTTTTATATCCCACATAGGAGTGAAATTATATGGTTCTCAAAGTTTTCTGTCTGACTTATTTTGCTTAGCATGATAATCTCAATATCCATCCATGTTGTCGGTAACGGTAGTACTTCATCTTTTCTTATGGCTGAGTAATATTCCATTGTGTATATGTATCTCATCTTCTTTATCCAATCGTCTATCGAAGAACACTTTAGTTATTTCCATGTCTTGGCCACCATGAATGCAGTGAACATAGAAGTACATGTATCTTTAGGGATAAATGTTTTCAGATTTTTTTAGGTACATACCCAGAAGAGGGATTGCTGGGTCGTATGGTAATTCTATTCTTAATTTTTGAGGAAACTCCATACTGTTTTCCATAGTGGCTGTACCAGTTTTCACTTCCACCAGCAGTGTATAAGGGTTCCTTTTTCTCTACAGCCTCTCCAATACTTGTCTTGTTGCTGATAGCCATTCTAACAGGTATGAGTTTGTATCTCACTATGGTTGTCATTTGCATTTCCCTAATAGTTAGTGAAGTTGTGCATCTTTTCATATATCTGTTGGCCATTTGAATGTGTTCTTGGGAGAAGTGTCTGTACAGGTCCTCTGCCCATTTTTAAATTGGATTGGTTTTTTGTTGTTGTTGAGTTGTATGAGATCTTTATATATTTTGGATATTAGCCCCTTATCAGAAGTGTTTGAAAATATTTTCTCCTGTTTGGCTGGTTCCTTGTTTTGTTGATGGTTTGTTTCTTTTGCTGTGCAGAAGTCTCTTAGTTTGATATAGCCCTATTCATTTATTTTGCTTTTACTTCCTTTGTGTTTGAGGCCAAATTCATAAAATCCTCTCTAAACTCAAGGTCCATAAGTTTAGCACCTGTTTTCTTTTATGCAGTTTATTGTTTCAAGTCTTATATTTAGGTCTTTGATCCATTTTGAATTAATTTTGGTACATGGTGACAGATAGCAATCTAGTTTCATTCTTTTGCATGTGGCTTTCCAATTGTTTCCTTACTTGCTCTAAAAGATGAGACTATATAAAGCAAAAATAATAACAGTGTATTTTGTGTTTATAGTATATGGTAGTGTTATATAAAAAGATCAAGTCACTGCACATGAAGTGGCATATTATATGAAATCAGACTGATTAATCAAAGATTTGTAAACTCTGGGACAACTAGTAAAGTGAGTTTTAAAATATAAACAATAAACCAAGAGCAAAGATAAAATAAACCATATATTACATAATTTTAGAGTTTACATTTAGTTTGCCGAGCAACTAAGTCTCACAAGTCACATAAATGGTTGGTGGAAATTCAAAATAGTGTAGCCTCTTTCAAAAACCGGCTTTTGGGCCGGCCGAGTGGCTCAGTTGGTTAAGAGCTCGCTCAAGAGTTTGAACTCAGTCACAGGGTCCCCGGTTTGATTCACGGCCCTAGCTGCGCTGCTGCTGAGCTGCCAACAGGTGGCAGGATGGCTCAGCTAAAACAAAACAAAACAAAACAACAACAACAAAAAAAAAACCGGCTTTCAGTTTCCTATGAAGTTCCATATACATTTACCATAGGATCCAGCAATCTCATTTGCAGGTATCTTAGTGAAATAAAGATCTATGTTCATACAAAATCTGCTTATGAATATTACTTATAGCAGCTGTATTTCATCACTGAAAGCTGAAAACAACCTCAATGTCCCTCAACTGGGGAATGTATTAAACTGTGATACACCCTTACAATACTTGGAATACTAATAAGTGGAAAAAAAAAGAAATGGACTACTGATAAACACCACAACATGATTAAAACTCAACATGTTATACTAAGATGCCTAATTACAATGTTGACACATATTGTATGATTCAACTTATGTTACAGTTTTACAAAATCAAAATTAAAGATGTGAAAAATATGCCTGCAGTTATCAGTGTCTGTGGATAAAGGTATGGATTGACTATAAAGGAGCACAAGAGTTTTTCTGTGAATGGTGATGAAATTGCCCATCCTTTGATTGTGGTGCTAGTTATAAGACTGAATCTATTTGTCATAATACTCAGAAGTATTCACTAAAAGAATTTTACTATAAAATATTGTATCTTAATTGAAAAATTGGTTTAAAAATAATATGTGTGATATTTATGTGTATACAATTTATGAAATAAGTCCGGCAGGAAAAGTCAAGAACCATATGATTTCACCAATATGTGGGATATAAAACTGAAAACAACAAAGGGGAACTGACTGGGTGGTGAACACACAATGTGATATATAGATGATGTATTACAGAATCGTACACTTGAAACCTATGTAATTTTATTAACCACTGTTACCCCAATACATTTTAATTTAAAAAATATATATATATATTTTACATTATGGAACTTGCTTTCTATCCAAATATGTGTTTTAAAGATAATATCATGTTAGTGCATATATATTTAGCCTGCATTTATTAACTCTTGTACAATATACAATAATTTATGTAACCATTCCAATGCCAATAAATATTAAGTTTGCCTTCATGATTTGTTATTGCAAACAATTCTGTAATTAATATTCTTTCCTGAGTTTTCTTTCCACACATGTGCATGTTTCTAGGGTATATACATAAAAGAGATAATGATGATAATCAACTAATTTGATAATTTATACTCTCTTCAGAGATATGCAAATATTGCTCACCAAAGGAATTATAGCAATTCAAAAATTCCACAAACACTATCCAAAAAAGATCTCTATCCCACTCCTTAGTCAATATCTGACACTCCTGTTTTGAAGATTACCATCAGATGACTGTTCTATGATACTGAATTGTTATTTTTATTTATGTTTGTCTTAATTACTGCAAAAGAGCAGTGTACACATTGAACAATTCTACTTTGAATTGATGTAAATTACCTATGCACTCTCTTTTCCTCTGTGTGTGCATGTGTGTGATTTGCCTTTTACTTATCAATATGTGAGAGTTTTTTGCATATTCTGTATGCTACACACTTTTTCTGCTACATGTTTGTCTGCTATTCACGTTACAAATTTTTCACAGTTAGTAATTTACCATTTGAGTTCACAATTTCCTTAAGAGTTGATTACTTTTTATAATAGTAATATATATGATTATTCTACTCTTTATCTGATAATTTAGAAGATGGTAAACTGTGTTTTCAACACAATAAGATAATCAGTGCAATTTGAGATGCCTTCTTTATTTCATAGTTTTCCTTACATGCGTGTGGTTGTTTATGTACTATTTTGTTCCACTGAATTAGTTCTATATTTCTTTTATCAATTCTACCTTAATTCAATCAACAGAGCTTTTTATTATCAAAGTTCAATTTCCTTTACATTAATGTTGGAAACTTACTTCGCATTCTGATGTACAGCATGGTCCAGAACCACATTCTACTGAGCCTTTCAGTTTACATGTATTATGATCACAGCACTTCTTAAATTGACATTCCTAAAATTTCATAAGAAGAAATATTATTCTAGTTCAACCACTTAACAGCTCTTGTTTCTTAATCTCAATTTCTATTTAATACTTTTTTGTGTTCAACTTTTCAATTATACACTATTGTTAATTCAATGTTTCACTATTTTCCCTATGCTGTATCTACATCCCCATGTTATTTTGGGGGATGGTGGATGACAAGAGAATTTAATTAGGAATTTAATGTTATGTAAACAAGTAGTGGTTAGTTATTTTTGTAGATGGTAAGAAATTGCAGTAACTTCTGGGGAGTAATCATGAAGAAACTTTATTTTATTTAAGTAGAGGGGAATTATTAAATATTATAAATTAATGATTTTTTTAAAGATTTTATTGGGGAATTGGGGGATGGGAGCAGCACTGGAGAATTGGGGGAAGGGAACAGACATGTTGCTGTCCTTTTTTGTTCTTCAGTCTAGTTGTGGAGGACGTTGCTTCACTGGCCCAAGTTGGCACCATCATTGCACTCTTCGCAGGCGAGGTAGATCAGTCACTGGCTTCTGGACGGCCGCTCACTGCAGCTGCTGGCCACTCACGCTGGCTGCTGGCCGCTCACACTGGCTGCCCGCTACACATGGTAGCCCATGGCAACCCACTGCAGCAGGGGCTGCAGCCTACGCTGTCGCTGGCGACTCATGGCAGCCCAGCTCCAAGTTGACCTGTTGTTCAGCATCTTAGCTGTAGAGGGCAGTGTCACTGTCCCTCATATATGGGATCGGAACAGGGGTCCTCTAGCGTCCCAAGCCAGCTCTTAACCAACGCGCCACTTGGCTGGCCCAATTAATGATATTTTAATATCATTCTGTTGAGAATAGTAAGCATTGAACATTTGGTTGATGGGATTTTAGTAGACTGCATACCTATATTTAGAAGTGAGCAAATAGAACAAATTTTGATCATCTTGTAACTTGGGAATACAGGAATGTTTGAGAATGACTAAGAAAAAAACATTATAATCTTTCAACATTCTTGCAACTACAAGAGATAGGGTTTTCAACCAAATTTGTAGAGAAAATACAGACTGAAATCAAATGAATCAGGAAATAAATTGTGGATAAAAAGGAATTCGTTTAGTCTATATATTCAAAATCTCTGCTGGCATAATTGGGAACAGTTTGTGCAAACCAAGTTTTCTGATTTATTTCTCTTCTTAATTGAAGAGGTGTGGGAAAGTGTTTCATGTATCTTATTCTTATTTTCATATCTCAGTTCTATATTGAAGACATAGTTGAATACATTATCCCATATATACCATGACCATTACTTATTAGAAACACAAGAAATTATGCTCAAATTCCAATCTTTATTACTCACCTCTTCACTGCCACAGTCACATTCTTCATTAAGCTCCAAAATCCCATTACCACACGCTGATTGATTTTGATAATATGGTTGCAAATTTGGAAAGTTCTGAAGACATTTACCATCAAATTTAGAAACAAAATATCTATAGTCATGCATGCTACAGTTGCTAAAAATCTTTACACCACTGGAACCCCTAAAATGAAATAAAATTCCCCAGGTAAATAAACCTGGTTAATACAACCACATCTGAACAATGCTCCAGATATAATGACATAACTTGCAAGATGGTTCAAATGAAAAACTGTACCTAAGCAGAGATAAAGTCAACCAAGATTAAACTTTAGTTTATCATTGCTTACCTTTAACAGATTTAAAATAGCATTGAAAGTATATCTTTCCAGGAAAGCAATAAGGTATAATGGCTAAATCCATCTATCTATCTATCTATCTATCTATCTATCTATCTATCTATCTATCTATCTATCTATCTAATCTATCATCTATCTATCTATCACTGTCTATCATCATCTTTCTCTACACCTGACATGCTCTTCTCATATAGCTAAAGCTTCCTTTCCTTATTTCAGTCAGATATCTTCTCAAATGTCACCTTGAAAAGAAGTCTTTCTTGACCACATTATCTGAAATTGTGTCCCATTCCACATTCTACTTCCATTTTCAATATTTATTATTCTACACAGTATTTTTATTTATTAGCATTTTTAAAATTTATTTTATGTGACCTAAATTTTGTACTAAATTGTTTCATAAAGGTCTTTATTTTCATGTTCAAAGCTGTATTTTCATTGGATTATCTAATAGATCTGACTAATGGATATCCAGTACACATTTGAAATATACTATGTACAATAGTGAACTACTGATTTCAACCAATCCTTCTCCATCCATTGTTCTCAGTTTCTGGCAACTTGATTCTTATGGTTGCTCAGACTGATAACATTGGTGTGGTCCTGGGCTCTTTTCTCTCACACCCTACTTCAATACACACACACACACACACACACACACGAATATAACATATCAAATTAACAAATTTTATGCTGTTTGCATGTTGAAATAATTATATTTTGAATATATTGGGTTAAATAACATATTAAAATATACTATTGGAATTAATTTTATCTGATTCTTTTAATTTTTTAATGCAGATACTAGAAATTTAAAATTACATATGTGGCTCAATTTTATTTTTATTGCATAGTGCCACTACAAGCAATCATGTCTGAAATAGTATCACCGAAACAGCTACATCATGTATTTGAAATGAGTGAGGTCCTGGGTTGTCTCCTGAGCCTCCAAAGAAAGAAATATATAACTGCTAAAGTTTCAGAGTTGGGAGAGTGGGAGAAAAAAGAGAAATGGACTCATTATTTTCTATTTGGACCATGTGATTTTTTGAGTGAAAATCAAACATATTAATTAGAAGTTGGAACTTTGGTTTAAGGTGGGTATAAAACAACTTATGTTTTTAAATCTCTGCTTAAAAGATGGGCATGCAAGAAAGAAAGAAATGAATGTATATCTATAAATATATATATGTGTGTGTATATATATATATGTGTGTGTGTGTGTGTGTGTGTATGTATATAATATTAAAATATTGGCTTTTTGTGGGGATGATTATCATCTAGGACTAAAGACAACTATAAAATAAAGTGAGCTAAGGCAGCTGTCTCAAAGTGCTTTAATTCCTTATCCAAAGCTCCAAGTTGGGATAGAGAAAAAATGGAAATAATTATTTCAAGAGAACACAGCTTCCCCAGCAGGCCCAATTCTGAATTCCAAGGACATTAACTTGGCAAAACCTCAACTATCTACTTTCTTTACATATGCACTTTGGTAGCTGAAATTGAGTGGACCGAAATAAACAAACATGTTATTTTAATTCATATTAAATTTGTAATTATAAATTCTAAGTATCTCTTCAAAGGCCAACAATCCTATCATGTTTCCAAGGTCATTTCTAATTTTCCATCTCCAAGACATGTGTTTCACTTCTTCTATCAAAGCTCTTATACTCCTTGCTCTATCAGAAGAAATTGTCCTCATCTTTATCACCTCCATCAACAAAACTATCTACATATTTATCTATTTACTTTCTTAACATTCTCTCACAATAATTGCATATACCCAGCTCTAATAAAAGCCAGCCCCTCTACTTATGCACTAGATCCTGCCCTCTCTAATTTACTCAATGATTTTGCTCCTAAGCTATCATTATATTCAATATCATCATCTTTTGACTCCTTTCTCTTTGTTTCAATCAGTCTATAGATAGTATGTAGTGTCTCCCATCAATAAAAATGCCACATTGATCATAAATTTCACCTCATACTCCTCAAAAGGTTGTCTATATTTACTATCTCCACTTTATTACCACCCATAGAATTTATCAAGTACCTTAAAAATAATCTAAAATATTGATTGGAATTGTACTGAATTTATAAATCCTTTCTGGAAAAAAATAGCAATTGTATAATAGGTCACCTATTTTCTTAGTGCTGATATACACATACTAATGTTTTTTCAGATTGATCATCCTGATGAATTTTTTTTGATGCTTTTGTTGTTCTAACTATACACTCACTGTTGATTTACATAGTCAACAGTAATATCTGTAAATAAGGAAAATTTTTTTCCTCTTCAAATTCCTCCTCCTTTTTTTCCCCCTCTAAATACCAGCCAAAACTGCCAACACTATGTAATATTGTTAAGGGTCATTTTAGACTTTGCCTTGAGTAACAAATACAACAACCAAAACACCCATAGTATTGTATGCTTTATTAATATTTCAGAGTGTTCATAAAACTTAAAATTTTCCCTTTAATTCCCTTGAGTGGATATTTCTTAATCATGGGGTTGGCCAATTTCTGGAGTCTTATATCACTTAGATAAATTTGTTAGTGTAATAGATAATCATGTACAACATACCTTTTCAATTTTTGATGTGGAGTTGAACATAATCAAAAATTCATTACATTTTGTAGACCTCACAAATATATATGCTAAATTAATTAAGAAGAAAAAAAGCAAGACTTACACTGCTTCATGATTCATTATGCACGTAGCTCTTGGACAAGAACACTTGTTTATGTCATCATATGTTAGTCCAATTTTAAGGCCAATTAGTTGAGCTATAATAACTGAAAATCCCTCCATAGTTATTGCATCTGTGTACTAAAATAAAGAATATTTAAGAGAAAACCATTATACAAGAAGAAAACAGGGCTGGCTGAGTGGCTTAGTTGGTTAAGAGCTCACTCAAGAGTGTAAGTGCAATGGGGTCGCTGGTTCAATGCCCGGCCCGAGCTGAACTGCCAACAGGTGGCAGGATAGCTCAGCAAAATAAAAAAAGAAGAAAACAAAAGTATTAAACATTTTTGTTCCTACAAAAATTTATATTTTAATACTTTTTATCTTCAGCACATTTTATAATACTTTATTTTGATATGTCATTGATATGAATATCCATACCAGTTATTAAGGAACACAAAATTATGTTAAAAGTAATCAAACTACCAATATTCTCTAGTTTAAAGTTTGGCATGCCCAAATTCTGTAGCCTTAAACACACATGCTATTTTGATACAATCAATATAAAACATGTTTATTCAACTTTTTCATTAAAATAATTAATCTAATTAACAAATATTAATTAAGTATACACATGCATCAGGCATTATGATAGAAGTTGGGAATATAGTGATATTCATGAAAGAAATGGAATTTTTCCACACCTGGAGCTTATATTATGGAAGGGAAGAAAGAAAATAAATAGGAAAGTCACCACAAACTTCCCAAGTATAAAGAGACCATGAAAAGTACTCTGAAGAAATTGAAGTGTTCCGATAATTTTAAGGAAGGGAATAACTATTTAGTTAAGGATATTAGGAAAACGTATTTGTGGAATTGATATTTAGGCTAAGATATAAAGTTTGGTAAATGACCTAGCAGTATGAATAGGTGTAGCGTGCCTATATGGGAACTTGGACAAAGGTTGTAGTATAATGAGTGAAATGAAGAAATGACAGGACAAAAGCTAGAGATATAAGTAAAGCCATGGAAATGAAATTAGGAATGAGAAGGTATTTTTCTAAAGGTTGGTGACACTGCAGAGTGGCGTTTCATAGTATTCCACTTTGATAAATAAACTGTGATTTTTTTTCATCTCTTTAATCATTATAAACAAAATTCTTAGAATTTCTCTAACCTTTCTACATCAATTGACTTTAAAGTGAGTAAAATTCATACCTATAAGAAAAAAGATTGTGTGTACATGCGTATAAATAAAAACATGGACTATCATATAGAAACATAGAAAAATGAGTTAATAGGTACGGTGTCTCCTGTTATCCTAAAAGAGCTAAGCTTGAAAGAAAGGGAAAATCCCAGTATCAAAATTAGAAAGAAGGTTAAAGACAGAACAGAATATGAGAGATGAATCTGGTTCACCATCGGGTTTTAGGGTAAGGCATAGCAACCAGAACCTGGACTTTTAATGCCAGCTCAGAGAAAAGAAACATAGTCTTGTACTTTCATAATTATACAGCTGAAAATGAACTCCCTGTACAAATAACACCCTAGTTACACTGTAAAAGAAGAGAAGACAGATTATACACAAACTTAGTCACAGAATGAAAAAAGAGGACATCACTTCAGATCCTACAGATTAAAAAAGAGTTATGATGTTCAAAAGAATGAAATTGGACCCCTACCTTACATCACTCACAAAAAATAACTCAAAATGGATTAAAAACTAAAACTGTAATTTTTTTAGAAAAAATACATGGGAAAAACAACTTGATGTTGTCTTGGCAATCATTTTTTTTTATTTCACACCAAAAGCACAGGCAACAAAAGCAAAAATATATGTGGGACTACATTAAACTAAAATGCTCCTGCACAGCGAATAATACAATCAACACAACGAAAAAGCATCTGATGGGAGACATGGGAGAAAATATTTGCAAACCATATATCCAATGAGGGGTTATATCCAAAATATATAATGGACTCTCAAATTTTAATATCAAAAAGACAAATAACTTGATTAAAATATGAGCAAAGATCTGAACACATGCAAATAGAGCGTGTAAATGAAACTATGCTCAACATTACTAATTGTCCAGGAAAGAAAAAAACAAAACATCACTTCATACCAGGTAGAATGGCTATTATAAAAAAGATCAGAAATAAAAAATGTTGGTGAGTATGTGAAGAAAATTGGAACCCTGGTACCCCAGGATTGTAAATTGGTACAGTCATTATGGAGGTTCCTCAAAAAATTACAAATAGAATTACCAGATGATCCAAGCAATCCCACTTCTAGGTATATATACAAAGGAAATTAAATCAATATCTGTACTCTCATGTTAATTGCAGCATTATTCACAATAGCCAAGGTACGAAAACAACCTATGAGTTTGTCAGTGGATGAATAGATAAAGAAAATGTGGTATAAGTGAAATCAGCATCATGACAGAGTGAGATGACTCTTTTGTCTCTCTCCTTCAATCTATAACTGGTGGGACATCTATAACCCAACAAAGGTTCCTCTGCTCAACACGCTAGGATGCCTGAGAGATCAACATGTCAGTGCATCTGAAGGTGGATGTATTGAAATGCATAGAGGAAGTAGAGTGAAGGGGGAACAAAGATGTCTCTAACCCCAGTTTCTTGGCTGCCCTGACTGATCCCACAACCCCAGCAAACATGGAAGCTGCAAAGGAGACAGTGTCCACAACTCTAGCCCTCATACCACAGCCTCAATAAAGGGAAAGGGCAGCAGCAGATTGGTGCCTGAGACTGGCTCCCTCTTCCAGCTGCAGCAGTGTCAATGCCAACAGAGAGCCCTGTAAAAGCAGCAGAGAAAGCACAAGTGTGTCTAGCCTCCCGGCCACAGCAACACCAGAGGTCACAGGGAACCAAGTAGCAGAAGCTGCAAGCTCTTGAACCTGGCTTCTCCATCCTCGTACCTCCACTCCCCCATCTCCCAACCAAAAGGGTGGTGCCCTGAGACCCAGGCAACCCAGACACAGAGGGACACCCATCATCCCAATCATGCTGCCAGCAATGCCCACAACCACAGTGGCACCCTCTACCTCAGCAACATTGGCAGCAGCAAGGCACCAGCAACCTGGGAGGTACAAACAGCACAGGTACCAGAGGAGGAAAAGCACACTATACTGCCATCCACTGGGAAACAAACAGAGAAGGCTTCTAATTACCAACCAGTTGAATTAGTTTTTTTGTTTTGTTTTGTTTTGTTTTGTTTTTTTATTATTAGTTTCAGGTGTATAGAACAATGCAATAGTTATCCTTTTCACTCCTCACAAAGTAACAACCCCCCTCCCCCCTTCCACTGCCCTCTCACCCCCAATGTCGTGCTTATCTATTACAATTCCATTGACTACATTCCCACACTCTACTCCACATCCCATGACTATATATGTATATATAATTATAGTTGACATACAATATTATTCAACATCAGCTTCAGAA